GGCAATTAAAAAAGAGCAGAGATGGCTCTGCTTATATCAGACAAAATAGACTTTAAGCTAAAAATGGTAAATAAAAAAGTCATTATATAATAATAAAGGGGTCAATATATCAATAAAATATACCAGTTGTAAGCATTTATACACCCAACATTGGAGCACCCAAATATATAAAGCAAAAACTAATAGAGCTAAAAGTAGAAATAAACAGTAATACAGTAATAGTTGGGGACTTTAATACCTCACTCTCAACAATGGTCTTCCAGACAGAGACTCAGTAAGGAAATAGCAGATTTGAATACTATAGACCAAGTGGATCTAACAGATATATACAGATATCCAACAATAGTAGAATACACATTCTTATCAAGCACACATGGGACATTTTTCTAAGACAGACCGTGTGTTTGGCTATAAAACAAGTCTTAACAAATTCAAGATTGAAATCATGCCAAGGACCTTCTCTGTCCACAATGGGATGTAACCAGAACTCAATAACAGGGAAAAAAAACTGGAATTAATGAATACGTTGAAATTAAACAGCACTTTCCAGAACAACAAATAGATCAAAGAAAAAGTTAAAGGAGAAGTAAAGTTTCTTGGGATGAAAGAAAGTGGAAATGCAACATACCAGAACTTGTGGAATGCAGCAAAAGTAGTTCTAAGAGGGAAGTTTACAGCAATAAATGCCTATATTAAGAGCAAGAAAAATCCCAAGTAATCTAACTCTCACTTTAAAGAATGAGAAAAAGAAGAATGAATTGAGCCCAAAGCTGTAGAAGCTAGGAAACAATAAAGATTAGAGCAGAAATAAATTAAAGAACAGAAAAAAAAAACAATAGAAAATATTAGCCAAATTAAGGATTGGTTCTTTGAAAAGGTAAACAAAATTGACAACCCTTATCTAAACTAACCAAGAAAAAAAGACAAAGAACTCAAATCAAAATTATAAATGAAGAAGAAGATACAGTAGATACTATGGAAACTTAAAGGATCATAAGAACTACTGTGAACAACTATACACCAACTTACTAAGACAGAATCAGGGAGAAATAGAAAATCTGTAAAAACTAATATTAGTAAGGAGATTGAATCCGTAATCAAAAATCTCCCAATGGTGAAAAGCCCAGGACCAGATGGTTTCACTGGTGAATTTTACCAAACATTTAAAGAATTAATAGCAATCCTCAAATTCTTCCAAAACATCAAAGGAAACATTCTAAAACTCATCTTAATAGGTGAACATATCCTAATACTAAAATCAGAAAAAGATTTACTAGAAAAGAAAACCAAAGGCCAATATCCCTGATGTCTATACATGTTAAAATTCCCAATACGGCACAGGCCTACCTCATTTTATTGTGCTTCTCTTTATTGCAGTGCACAGATACTGTGATTTTTTACAAATTAAAGGTTTATGGCAACTTTGCTTCGGGCAAGTCCATCAGTGTTGTTTTTCCAATGAAATTTGCTCACTTAATGTCACTGTCTCACATTTTGATAATCCTCACAATATTCCAAACATTTTCATTATGATTATATTTGTTACAGTGATCTGCGGTCAGTGATTATGACTTACTGAAAACTCAGCTAATGGCTAGCATTTTTTGGCAATAAAGTATTTCTTAATTAAGGTATGTTCATTGTTTTTTAGACATAATGCTATTGCACACTGAATACACTACAGTATAGAATAAATACAACTTTTATATATACTGGGAAACCAAAAACATCTTTTGACTCACTTTATTGTGATACTTATTTTGTTGTGGTTGTCTAAAACCAAACCTTCAATATCTTCAAGGTATACTTGTACTAACAAACTGAATTCAGCAGTGCATTAAAAGAATCATTCATCATAAACAAGTGCCATTTATCCCTGGGATGCAAGAATGGTTCAACATATGTGAATCAATCAGTATGATACCACATGTTAATAGAATGAAAGAAAAGAATCACATGATCATTTTAATAGAGAAAAACATTTGACAAAATTCAACATCCATTCACAATAAAACTCTTAACACATGAGGCATGAAAGGAATGTTTCTCAACATAATAAAGGCCACATATACCTAGCCTACAGCTAACATCATACTCAGTGATGAAAAGTTGAACACTTTTTCTCTAAGATCAGGAGCAAGACAAGGATGCCCACTCTCACCACTCCCACTACATAGTCCAGGAAGCCCTAGCTAGAGGAGTTAGGCCAAAAAAAAAAAAAAGTATCAGAATTAGAAAGGAAGAAGTAGTAAAATTAAAATTTACTCTATTTACAGATGACACAATTTTATAAGAGAAAAATCCTAAAGACTCAACCAAAAGCAGATCTAAGTAATGAGTTTAGTAAAGTTGCAGAATACAAAATTAACATACAAAAATCAGTAGCATTTCTATTCACTGACAATTTTTTAAAAAATAAATCAATCCCATTTACAATAGCATCAAAAACAATAAAATACTTAGGAATAAATTTAAGGAGGTGAAAGATCTGTACTCTGAAAACTCTCAGACACTGATGAAAGAAATCAAAGAAGACACAAATAAGTGGGTATCTCATGTTCATGGATTGGAAGAATTAATATTGTTAAAATATGAATACTACCTTACCAAAAGCCATCGGTGGTTTCAATGCAACCCCTATCAAGATTCCAATGGCACTTTATACAGATTTAGAAAAAAAAAAACACTCCTAAAGTTATATGGAATCACAAAGACCCCAAATAGCTAAAGAAATTCTGAGAAAGAAGAAAAAAGGCCTCACAGTTCCTGATACTATACTATAACACAATAGTTATTAATATAATCAAAACAGTATAGTACTGGCATAAAAAGAGACAAATAGACCAATGGTATAGAATCAAGAGCTAAGAAATAAACCCAACCATATATATAGTCAACTAATATTTGATAAGGGAACCAAGAACACTCAGTGGAGAAAAGGTAGGTTTTTTTTTAGTAAATGATGCTGTTATAATCAAATATTTGCATGTAGAAGAATGAAACTGGACCTAGGGATCCCTGGGTGGCTCAGCGGTTTAGCACCTGCCTTTGACCCAGGGCATGATCCTGGAGTCCCAGGATCGGGTCCTGCATTGGGCTCCCTGCATGGAGCCTGCTTCTGTCTCTGCCTCTCCCTCTCTCTCTCTGCATCTCTCATGAATAAATAAATAAAATCTTTTAAAAAAATAAATACACATCTAAGAGAAAATAAAAAACATTTAAAAAAAACAACCTATATTTATACCACTTAGAAAAATTAACTCAAGAGGGATTAAATACTTGAATGTAAGGCCTGAAGCCATGAAAATCCTAGAAGACATAGGAATGAAGTTCCTTGAGGAGTCTTGGCAATTATCTTTCGGATAGAACACCTAAAATATAAGCAGCAAAGTCAAAAATAAATAAGTGGGACTACATCAAACTAAAAAGTTTCTGCACAGCAAAAGAAACCATTAACAAAGTTAAAAAGCCTATGGAATGGGAAAACATATTTTCAAACCATGTATCTGAGAAGAGGTTAATATATATATTATATATAATATATATATTATATGCAAAGGACATGGATAGACATTTCTCCAAAGAAGATATATGAAAAGCCAACAAGCATATGAAAAGATGCTCAACATCCCTAGCCATTAGGGAGATGCAAATTAAAACCACAATGAGATATCACCTCATGTCTTTTGGAATGACCATCATCAAGAAGACAAGAGATAGCAGATGCTGGCTTGCATGTGGAGAAAAGGGACCCCTTGTGCACCACCAGTAGAATTGTAAATTGTTGCAGCCATGTCATATGACCCACCAATTCAACTTTTGGGAATATAGCCAAAAGAAAAACACTAACTCAAAAAGACATCTGTACTTCATGTTGATAACAACACTATTTACAATAGCCAAGACCTGGAAACAACCTAAGTGCCCATTGATGGAGAGATGTATAGAGAAGCTGTGGTGTGTACACACACACACACACACACACACACACACACATACACAGAGGAATATTATTTAGCCATAAAAATGAAGAAATCCTACCATTCATGACAACAGGGATGGACCTTGAAGGCATATGCTAAATGAAATCAGTCAGATAGAGAAAGACAAATACTGTATGATCTCACTTATATGTAGATCCTAAAAAAAACAAAAACAAAAAACTTAAATTCATACACAGAAAAAAGAAGAAAAAAGAAGAGATTTGTCTGTCCGAGGTGAAGAGTGTGGGAAGTGGGAATTGGAGGAAGATGGTAAAAAAATAAAAACTTCCAGCTTTCAAGTAAATAAGTACTAGGGATGTAATGTACAACATGATGACTATACCTAATTCCACTGTATGACATCTAGGAAAGTTCACGAAAGAGTAAACCCCCAAGAGTTCTTAGCACAAGGGATTTTTTTTCCTTTTTTTTTTCCTTTCTTTTAGTTGTATCTATATGAGAAGATAGATGTTAACTAAACCTATTGGGGCGATCATTTCACATCACGTAAATCAAACCATCATGCTGTATGCCTTAAACTTACACAGTGATTTATGTCCATTATTTCTAAATAAAACTGGAAAACAGATGAAGTGTTTAAGCAGATCTTTGTCAACCAGCAAATGCCTTTCAGTCTGAGCATTTCACCAACTCATTGTATGCCAACTGTCTCACTGGGAGCAATTAATGTGAACCTCCAACCCTCAGCATTAAAATTCCATTACCAGTAAGCAGAATATTAGTGTCTGGGATTACCATTTTCATCTCTCCACATTTCAGTGTTAATTGTGACCACGATTCCTTAATCTATTGGGTGAATTAAGAATATTGAATAAAATCTATAATTAGCCATTAAATGTATGTAATAATACATAGAACTTAAATGCATGTTTCTGCAACTTAAACGTAGATGGGCTACGGATTATATTAAGCTAATGGTCATTTGTAAAGCACTAAATATCTTTCAAAGCCAATTTTCCCAGGACTCTGACATTGCAATTCCTTTCTCTTTTCCAGAACCATATCACCGCCTTTGCAGAAGTCACATGATATTGAAGAAGATGGTCTGTCACTACATTGGACATCATCCCTTTTCACCATCCACTCATAACACCCAAAGTTTGTTTGATTACAAAAGAAATTTATAAAGTTGTCTAATAATTTTTATAATTTTAAAACCAGTGTCCACTTATCTGTTTCCCCCACTAGACTGTGAGCTCCTCAAGGGCAGGACTGTGTCTTTCTTCTCTGTATCCCCAGCACCTACAACAAAACCTTGCACAAAGTAGGTGTTAAATAAAATATGACGACCCAATGAAAAAAATTAGTTCTTAAATAAAACACATTAGTTTCTTGCAGAATCACTGATACTGTGTGAAAAGAAACCTTAACACAAGTCATCCTGTATAAGAAATTCCCTCCATTTCAGTCTAGTTAAGCTTTTTAGTTGCTCATATATCTATTTAGCAGTATACCACATTTCATTTGAAGTGGACTTTGAAAGTCATGGGGGTTTTTATGTTATTTTTCAGCATGACATTATTTCCATTCTAACAGATTTCAGTGTGTGAAATTACTTTACTTTTAGAAAGTATGGTCTATACTAAAATAATGTTTGCACATAATAATATGCTATATTTCACTTAAAATACCATTCATACTATACATTCTAAGACTGGTGCTTCTGCTTTTGAAGGGGAAAATGCCAATTTTTACTGTAATAAGTAATGTATCATAATTAAAAATTATTTATTTGGACTTTTGTTCCTGACAACTGTGGTTTAATTGTTGACTTGTAGCTTTTGAATGTAGGCAGTGTGTAGGATATTTTAAGTGACAAAATCTAGCAGTGGTTCCTATGTATTGAGCAATTTTCCACTGATAAAGTGTCTTAAGAAGGGTGAATGTCTCCATTCTTAGGGTTTTTACTAGTCAGAATTCCACATAATTTAAACAGGAAAGAACCACACTCTGACACATAAATTTAAATCTGTAAATGCCAGAAATGTGGTTAACACATTTTACTTCACATTTGTATAGTACTTTATGGTTTACAAAGGACATTTTTATTTATAATTTTACTTAATCCATATAGTAACCCTGTGTAATAATTGAAAATGGCTTTAGTTTATAAATGCTAAAAATAAAGCCAAGGCAAGGTGGATAATATGCCTAATTCCAAACAACTAGCAGGAGACACTTAAAATTTAAATTCAGGTTTTCTGACCCCGAACTTGTATTCTTTTCGAATACACCACAGCTGTTGTATCATTTTGGACACATCAAAACCTTTCAGAGGTCAGTAGAGTCCTGGACAACTACCTATGTTTTTTAAAAATGAAGAAATATCAAAATAGAGTTATAAGACCTATGCTGTATTCTAAACATTTATGTTTTAAGAATGAACAATTTACAAATATGCAATTATATGGTAACCTATTTTTAATTTTCTTTAAAAATAATGTCAAGAGTCTAGGTGTGAGGTCTTTTGTAAAGTTGAAACCCAAATCAGGTATCTGTCCTGCAACCCTCACCCCTGTGCTCTACACCCCACCTCTCAGTAGAGGCCCCAAAAGACGTACCTCACTGAGCAAATGAAATTAAGGATGAAATCATGTGAATATAAGGAAGATGAACCAGGCTATGATTACACCATTAAATGTACTCCTCTACCATAACCTCTCAATCTTTAAAGCCACCCTGAGTAGCTTTGTCTTATATGAGCAGTAGTTAATTGACTGAAATGATTCTTCCTCACCTTGACAGTATTAAAAAAAAACTACATTTTCTCTGTAATTTCAACAGAAATCAGCAAATAGATATAACCAAAGACTTGTCTATTATTCCCCAAATAGATTTTACTTGCTCTTTTCCACCAATATGGGACTTAAAACACTTTTTATAGGGTCAAAAGCAGAAAATCCATATTTCTACCAAATTCAGACTTCTATATAGCAATTCAGCATGATTGGAAATTTAAAATATAAAAAAGTTCGAATGCCTTGATCCACTTTAATGACTTTTTTAAGGCAATAACAGTAATGGGAAATTCACTTACAGGGAATGGAAGTGAAAAAGGATGATTGTAATGTTTTCAGAGGCAGGATTACCAGTAAGACTTCTGGAGTCAAATTAGTTCTATAGGTTCCAGAATCAGTTTTCCAAGGAGCCAGTTTGGATTGTTTTTCCTGTTGGAAGCCTTAGCTATATATTCATGTGTAAATGTTGTGTCTTTGCACCTTGCTAAACCAGGTCTGAATACAGGAGTTATAAATTCCTCAGAAACCCAGATTTTATCCAGGATCTGAATAAGATCATCTCGCATATTAAATGTTATGGGCTTAAGATTGTGCATTGAATGATCCTGCCATGAGGAAAATTTAGAAGAATAAAAAGATACACATGCATAAAGGCAAAAAGCCAGCACAGAGCCCTGAACTATGATACTATAACTGCAGATAATGAAAACCACCTTTAAGAAAATATTAATTTGTAAATATGTACATATATAGTCTAGTAAAAGCAGGCAAACACATACTTTTCTGATAAAGACATCTTTTTATTCTACTCACTTGGGGCCCAGCAGTATAAATTGGTCAGCCTGAAAATTTTAGTAGTCTCTGTTTGCATGGCAGAAATTCTGCACATGTTCTATCTGATTCCTAAGATTATTTAAAAGGCTCTTTTATGTTAAAAGAGAGGTGAACCTTCTTTGACAGACCTTGTCTTTTCCACTTCTAACTGGGCCTCTCTTTTCTCAGGATCTATCCTAGCCAAATATCACAGTTACATTTACCATACAGTTTCCTTTGTGAAAGAGCAGTAGGGGAGGACATAATTCTCTGCTGTGTATTGTATTTTTCAAATAAAATTTAAAAAATTAAAAAAATAAGTTTTATTCATTCATTCATTCTAAATCATTTCTTGGGGTAGACAAAGAATACTTGTGTGATAGAAGTCAGATTGTCAGAATGACTGGGGAATGTTTGCAGAGGGATCACAGTGGTTGACATCAGATCAGTTCTCTGGGCAGCCAAATGCCGTGGGCCACCTTGGGATCTTTGCCACCTTCTTATTTGCAAAGAAGCCCCTGAAAGTATCTGACACCAAGCAGGAATATGAACTACTACATAATTTGCTTCCTATGTAGAAGCAAGGTGTTAAAGAATGAATGTAAATGATCTTGTTCTTGCCTTTCAGACATCATTTATAAATTTTGATTGCATGTTTTAAGAAGTTTCCCTGGACATATAACAAATGGTTCTATTTTTGCCTTAGAAACATTAATCTTTTAACAATTTGCCAGACACGGGCTTTGAAATGCAGGTTGTGACTTTGGGTTCCTTTAAAAACATCAATTAAGGACATTTCTTCCAGATTTTAAGTGAGAGATTTTTTTCTAAGAAGAAAATAAGAGTATTCATATTCGTCTTCACTGTCCTTCTTTTGTTTATAGCTGGTTCTTAGTCTGGTAAACCTTGGGACATGATCAAGGTTAATAAGAAAAAGATGTCTTTTCCCCCCACCCCAAGCTTTGTGAACCATGGATGGATTACAGGATCTAAATTCTAAACTCAGACTGACATTTTCAAATCTGTGGCCTTGCTCGTAAGGACCCTCCAGATAAGAAAATACACAGGGGTGGACAGACAGCCTCCTTTTAGCATTCAGATGAAAACGTAAAGTTCCCATCTCAAAGATGCCATCCTTACCAAGAGTCATCCTCACAAACACCATCCTGTTTCTTGTTTACCTTATATTATTGCATTTATAAATGTGTGTCCATTTTTTGCTTTGCACTGAAACACTATAATTGTACAAAAGAGGAAAAATTGTTCTCTTCCCGGGAGGAAAAAGAGATTTTTAAATTGATACTAGAAAAAGAAAGATCTTTCCAAACTAGTGAGACACTTTGGGTATTAATCAGGCTTCCCTAGAGGTATTATTGCTCCTACTTAAGAAGGTCCTTCCACCTTCTTCCATTCAGCACATATTTACTGACTGGTTCACACTGGAAATTTGGCAATGTGCCCACTAAACTACATGGCCAGAAAGACAGACATGATCCCTGTCTTTTCAGATTGAACAACTCAGCAGCCCCAAAACTGATGGTACCCTAAGAGGTCTGTTTAAAGTTAGAATGAGAGAACTGGCTTGGGTTAGCCAGCTAACCACCTACTCTCAGGACAAAGCAAAGGACATTTTCATAGATTACAGTGACAGCTAAGGTTAACGAAAAAGCATTGCCTCCATAAACAACATGGTATAATTTGGCTATTGCTGAATTTAAGAAACTCTAATTTCCAATAATCCTCACAAATCTGTGGTTCATTGGATCCTTTTTTCTAGTCTCAGCTGGCTCATTCATGCCTTTGTAATCAGGCCAGTAGTTCTGCTGATCTTGGTTAGACGTTTTCACATAATGGGGCTCAGCTGGCTGTCGGCTGATCTAGGGTGGCTTCACTTGAGACACTGAACTTTTTTCTGCATGGTCTCTCACCCTCCCTTTGTGCTAGCTAAGGTCCTTCATGGGAGTTGTGGGGAAGGGCAAGACAGAGCAGAAGCATGCAGGCACTGGCACATTGTCACTTCTGTCTCATTTAATTGGCAGAGGCAAGTCTCAAGGCCAGCCCAGGTTCAAGGATTATAGAAGCAGCTGGAAAGTCACATGCAAAGAAGTGGACACAAAGATGGGTGGAGAATAAGAGCCATTTTGCATTCCATGTACCATAAAATTTTAGTGCACCTTATACATGTTTAAGCAGTGCCCCCTTGAATTGAGTTCCTCACCTTATTTAATACAGATTTTTTTCTGATAAGCACAAGACACCCACAAATGACAATAGAAAGCAAATACATTGTATCTGAACACAAATGTCCACCCCACCCATCACCAACTACACCGCAAAAAATGTCTCTGTGATAAACTGGCTCAAGAACTGCCCATCAAGCTCTTAATTGGATGTGATGGGGAACTTGCTGGCGCTCTTCTAGGTTTTCCCAGAAAACCTCCCTAGGTCTTCTCCTATAGTAATAAAGGAAGTAGTCATAATTTTAAAAGAAAATGAAGAGACAGAATGAGAAAAGCATCTGAGCAGAAAGAATAGGAAAAAAGTTGAAGCCAAAGAATAAGACCTGAAGAAGGAAGAAGAATAACTGAAATAGAAAGCCAGGTTATGATTCACTGATTGATTGATTATGTGCATGTATGTATGTATGTCCTGTATGTATCTACTTTGTGCAATTTTTATTTTCACAAATTTCAGTTACCATGGTTTTTGAACTGAATATTTGTGTCCCTCAAAATTCATATGTTGAAGCTTAGATCCCCAATGTGATGGTATTTTGAGATGGGGGAATTTGGGTCATGAGGTCATAGTTATGAGGGTGGCCCTTCTTGATGTCAGTGCCCTTATAATAAGAGGCATAAGAAGACTGTCTTCTTCTCTTTCTGCTCTCTGACATGTGATATATGAGAAGACAGGTGTCTACACACCAGGAAGATGGCTTTCCTCAAGTACTAAATCTCCAGGACCTTAACCTTGACTTCACAGCTTCTAGAACAATAAATGATTATTTTTCAAGCCACTCAGTCTGTGGTCTTCTGTTACAGTAGCCCAAACTAAGACATGGTTTAGTTAAGTAACACCACTCTCCCAGCAACAGGATTCACATTTTAGTTACCATGGTATGATAACTATGAGTTATTGCATAAAGTGAAAATGTTGGTGCTAATTCTTCTGTTCTCAAGTCACTATGTAAATAACACATGTGGGTTATGATCAGTGACCTATTATGTCACATTTTTAGAGTCTGCCAGTGGTCGCTGCACATTTGTTATTCTGTTCATGCAATTGTGTTAACTCCTTGTCTCCCTGTGATAATTTCATGTGACATTTTTTAATTTTATTTTTTAAAGATTTATTTACTCATGAGAGATACAAAGAGAGAGAGGCAGAGACATAGGCAGAGAGAGAAGCAGGTTCCTTGCAGGGAGCCCGATGTGGGACTTGATCCCAGATCCTGGGATCGCGCCCTGAGCCTAAGACAGAAGCTCAACCACTGAGTCACCCAGGCATCCCCATGTGGCATTTTTTAAAAGCATAATTAAAAGGAGGAACTAGCCAACAAAGATAGAAGTGCAGCAAAGAAGAAAAGGTGATAATGCTGAACATGAAATCCAAATCAAACATACAAATGGTTGTAGAAGACTTAGCGGCTATGAAAATGTTGACACCTCCACCATTGTTGGAGATCATATCCATACCATTTCAGAAGCCTTGATATTTATTCTGAATCCCTGATTTTGATCTTGAAATACTAAAGACACAGAGACACACCTGCTGGGCCACCAGCAACTGAAACTGAACACTGTTCGCCTGAACAGCTAGGAGAGTTGAGGGAAAGTGACTTTATTAATGAAAATGAAAAGAATTTGTGATGAAAAAGATGAAGATGTCTCAGAGAAAGTGATTTGGACCAAAAAAAAAAAAAAAAAAAACAACCCAACTTTACACTAATGGTACTCTTAGAGATATTCTACAACATTAAAAGGCAAAAACGATAAAATATTGATAGCTGATCCAAATGAAGAAAGGAATATGACAATTAACCAAGACATAGAAAATAATACTCTGTGTCATAAGTTAATATGATAGGAAGAAGGCAAGAACTGTTCAAACTGCTCTGAATAAAATTTTTATAAAGAAATAAAGCATTTCTTTTCAGTGTTCCTAATGCTTTAAACTATGGTGTATTGAATCCATATTAGTTTTGCTATTTTTTTATTTCTTATACATTTAAAACTGGCAGTAAGAAAGTTTTTAATATTTTGACAAAAAAATTTAAAGATAAAAGATAAATTGTAACTCTTCCCTTTGCTTATTATGATCTCTGCACAGATTCAGGTTGCAAGGTTATTGTTCATGGTCCCACCCTACTGTACAAAGTAAAGACTGTCTACATGTATATAAGCATATGTGTATATGTATATATGCTGGATATTATATATAGAAGCATATAGAGACCATTATAGGGATATATATATATAAAAGCTTTCTTTTTAAAATAAATATTTTATGATTTTTGTTAATACACAACATAATTGTAGTCCCATATTTGTTCATTATTATATAGATCTCTTTGTATTGCAATTATTTGGTCACATAGTTTCTATGGCCAAATTAAGAAATATTGATCTTATGAATGGATAGAAACGTATTTGTATTAGAGTGCCATCTCAACTCTAGACTATTCACTAAGAAGAGTGGAAGGGAGATCAGGAAAAGTGATTTTTTTTTCCAAATAACTCAAGCTTAATAGGGTAGGTAATCTTTCTAAATTATATTGCACATATTCTGGCTTAGTAAATAAATACACATAATTTAACCCACACCGCCTTTTGAGCAGGAATCATTTTTTGGTGCTCTAATAAAGTAAAGCTCTTGGGAGGTATGCTGAGTTATGATGTTATATGGCGGGGGCGGGGAGGGTGTTTCCTTGCTCTAAGGATTATTTATTTGATTTTTCTTCCTATTTACCTTCTTAGAGCTTTCTCTGCCCTCTGCTGTTAATTTTCATTATTTCTCATCTTGAAATCTCTCTCAGCAACCTTCTGACCTGCTTTTAGTATGTTACTGTATTAGTCAACTCAGGCTTGCCACAACAGAATACCACAGGCTCAGTGGCTTACACCATAGAAATTTATTTTCTCACAATTTTGAGGCCTGAAAGCCCAAGATCAAGGCTGTGTGTGGTGAGGATTCTCTCTTTGGGTTGGAGACAGCTGCCTTCCCTCTGTGTCCTCACATGGCCTT